GAAAGAAAGGAACAACATACCACGTGTTTTTGACGCATACAGAAAATATCTAATTGAAGAAAGACAGATGTTGTATAAGAAAGATAGAAAATGTATATTTATGTATATGCTACAGGGAAGGATTGAAATGTTTATGAATTTTATATGATATTACGCTTTAATTTAAGTAGAACCGTAAACTATTACTTAATATTACTTAAGCACAGTTGGTGATCGTACCATATTTTTATTGAAATAGTAAAGTAATCTACATAATATTCAATTGATATAATTTTTTTTTCTTTAAATTTGTATTGCTATATTTTATTCTCTATTAAATAATTACTGTACCACACTTAGGCTAGACTTAATAACATCTGAGCTGAGCTTTGCCATTACACCATTGTCCCAGACAATCATGCATTTAATCAGTATAATAAACGTGTTAGTAATGAATGAATTAATTAAATCATTCTAACTATTAGACTCTCTAATGTGATTCAGAATTACATTGCAGTCGTGTAAGATCACATCACCCTCGTATTTACTTTTCCACTTGCAGCAAGCGCGAGAGTAATTTTCTCAAATGTACTAATTTTAGGTGAGAACGTGAGCTGGTAACATAAGGGAGAAACGTACTTCATTCCTCAAATTACATTATGCTGAGTTGAAGTATTCGTGCTTCCCATTTATTTGCTCCCACGGCGAGTCGTGATTTAAGAAAGAACGATTTAAGAATAAAATTTCCTTTTCAAAATCTGCATTTTACAGGATTGTAAAATAATATTAACCACATTCTTTTTGGTTCGCTAATGAATGTGGAAGTTATTCCGGTATAGATACATAATTTTGTCAGGACAGTATATTTTCATTTCCAATAATTTTCGAAAAATCTACTCTTCCATTTCATCTTTTAGCAAATTTAATAAATCATACTAACCACTATCGAATTCCACTGAGGACGTGATAAATTCTTAAGTACGTTTTGCACGTAATATCACATTTTCATCGACTTTACTATAATTTTAAAACATCCTGTGTATAACTGTATATGAATATACCTGATAATAACCTTTACTGCTTTATGCATGAAAATCTATTGTGAATTTTAATAGTAAATATTTTTTGCAATTCTCTCTGCATTAAACGTTGATCAGATATAGGTGTTTCAGTTGGTTTTATGGGTATTTAATGGACTGCCCTATCAACTTTTACTTTTCAGTCATGATATACTGAAAGAAAATAGTAATAATAATCTTTGTGCAGGATGTTTGATCACAATCAATTTTCCATTTGTGTCACAGTTAGAATTACATATAATATTTTACGACAGAAAATAATAACTTGAAGACTTGATCAATATTTCGTTTGTGAAATATCAAATCAATCGTTACAAATTTTTCTCTTCTGAAAATATCACAATTTTTTTGATGGTATACTATGAAACTACTACAGTTAACTAGTTTCGAGTTCTGTTTCGTCTTCGATTCGTATTTTGTAACAAAAATGGGTACACCACTTTCTACGAAGAGTCTTGGGGAGCACCCTTCACTCTTTTTCTCAAGTATTAACTCCATTATGATATCATTTATGCGCTCCATTATATTATCATTAGCTTCGGAGCTTTGCTTGAATTAGACTCGACTGTTTAATGTTCTTAGAAAGTTGCATTGACGCTCCATTTAATGATGTAATCATCTGTTGGCCTGGTGTACCGTGCTCAAAATTTCGCCACGTTTTCAACGCCGGTACAATGTAACACTTGCACTTTTATTTCTGTCTCAATCGGTAATAATCACTTTGTCGGGTGTGCTGGTATTGTATAGGAAAGATGCGTATCAAGATAAATCGTATTCATACAAGTTACGGTGATCATCGTCTATTAACCTTCTGCATAAACGTGAAGAGGAACAAAACCGTGACCTTTCACCTGTTTGTTACAGATTACAGAAATTACGTCTATATTCACGTGCTTCTTAAAATTCCCGTATCGATCATTTTGATCCTCTCTTCACTTTTTATTACGTGGCTCTTGTAATTCCCACATCGATCATTTTGAACTTTTCCTCAGTTTTTTACACCCTACGAAATCGTTGTTTCAGTTTGTCAAAGAGCTATCTTGATCTTATTATCGGTATGTTAATGACAATAACATTGCTTGATTCATTTCTTCGTCGCGAGTAAAAATAAAAATTTGGCACCTGTTTTGTGGAACTTTTACGAAAGTTTTTGTATTGCACTGAGGAGGAATTCTCCATGAGAATGAGGCCGAACATAACCTGATTTAGAGTACTTTTTATTACACTGTATGTCATAAAAATTAGAAATGATCCGTATTAGTTTATTAAATATTTTGTAGAAACATTGAAGTAGTATTCTCATAAACATGTTTCATAGAATATAAGATTTTCATTTCTGTAAATCTTTTTTTGCTTATTCAAGTAGAGAAATGGTACTATAAATTCGAATAAGTTACGCGTTTTATTTTTAATCTTATACAGTCATCGATACAATAAGTGGACCTACGTCCTGTGTTATACATAGATGGCCACAATTCGATCATTATGTATCCTCGTGTTTAACCTTTGACGTATCATATGAAGTGGATGGAAGCGAAAATGAAAATTTCAGAGAACTAGTGTATATCACGAATGACAACGTTTTATCGAAGATTAAAACGCGTTACACGTCGATGAACCATTCGTAGGGACTGGTACCTTTAATCGCACAAAAATCGAACGGTATCAGTAACTGTACTTGTAACACTCGAACGTGATCACTAGATGAAATTACATATTAGCAGTACGTTTATGAGACTCTTTAGATTTCTCGATATCAAGTTATATAGCACTTGAGAAAGGAGCTGTTTCAATGTTCTACTATACGCAGTGATAAAAATCTGTTACATGTTATGTTGTTAGTGTGCACGATTAATGTACGATAGATGTTAAATCGATATTAGTTATTTATATTTTTTTTAGCAGAAATATGTTAACACGAGTGATACCCAAATCTTTAGAATCATTTAACCGTTGTCCCGTGTCCTTTTTATCGCTGCAGAATAATTGTTTCGATTTCTCTTTGTATTTTTCATTGTACTGGAAAACGTTCTCTTTCGAGTGGACTGGAGAATATGAATTAACGGTACATACACCACTGGTTTTCATGCTTCTTATCATCATGTTGAGGACACGTATGTGTACGCGCGTGCGCTTGATGCACATTTATCAACACGTGATAACACGTGTGAATTGTTTACCACCGCTGCGAGTCGTATATTACAATATAGTTACACTGTACTAGTGAACATTGCAGGTGAACAAATAATTAAAAAATCATTACGCTGCTTCCATCCTTTTTTTTTGTTATTCTAGTACATGCAAATGTTTCATCATGCTTTTGCTGTCTTTATTCCTGTAAACTAATTTCTTTAAAAAAGTAACTAAAAATGGATGAATTTACAAATAAAATAATAATAAAACGTCGATAAGAAAACGAAGTTCTTTTTAATATTTTTGTTCGGCTTATTAACAGTTTTATAAATTTATGTTTAACACGTTTTTAAAACGAATGGTAGAAGTATAATAATCAGGAATTAATAATGGTTGGAAGTAAAAGTATAGTAATTCTGTGAAAATTTGGAGCTTGGTTAGAATTTGTCGAGTATTAATCCAATATAAATCTACCCTTATTTATTAAATCTGTAACAATGCATTATTACTTAAGAGAATTTATAAAAAGGTGTAGACACGAAATCCAAAAAATTGTATATAATGCTAATGACTTAATTAATAACTGAAACAACAAGCCAGTAGTAATTATTTTGAAAAGAATAAAGTTAATGATAAAAGTATTTTTTGCCTCTGAAGTTTCTCAATTTAAATTGACATTGTATGCACGTCATACATTAAAATATTTTTAAAAATCTTTCCTTTTCACAAAATCTAGTTCAAATAACAATTATGTCAGCAATAGTAATATAATTTTATCAGTGCATCCCACCCCCTGTCGTCAATAACTAGACTGCGGATTGATGCACTTATCACATACGGTAATAGAAATATTTATTGCATCACTCGAACATTAAGCACGTTATCACTTATACCTCTCTTACTATTATTACCAGAAACATGAATTAAAATAGATAAAACAGTAAACGAAGAAGTTCTCAATATCATTCATGCTCTCGGAATTCGATCACTAGAAATCAGTAAAAATACAAGTCCTTACAAAGATCCAGAGATGGGCAAATTCATTATTTCTACAAGGAGTTTCGAATAACGAACAAAAGATAAAAAAGTACTTGGCTATTTTCAACCCGTTCACTGCATGTTTTTGGTATCTTGTACAAAAATTTGTTTCATAAAATCAAGAACCAATAGTCATTATAAGATTATTTAAAACATTACAAATTTTTTTTTATAAACAGTGCGTTTGCTCACGATAAATAACAAACTAGTATTTACAGTAACACCGTTTTTGTAATGTTCGGATATCATTTAAAGAAGTTTCGTACTGCCGATCATCAAGAAATGTTCCAAATATTGTCACCAAAATGATAAAGTAAGCTACCAGTGCAGTGGACAATTGCAGTTAGCGGGTTAATTGATTAAACGCGGAAATTCCAATTTCTATAATAAAATCTTCTTGAATAAGTATATACTTGGAAAACTATTACTTAATCTCATTAATTGTTTAAAGGTCAGGCCAACGATCTTAGATACTTATTATCTGTTTTATGAGCAGATCTTAGGTATATATATTTTCAATATACATTACACGCATAAAATTATGCCCAATTCTGCAAATAATTTTCGTAAGAAATGAAGCATTCTACCCAAGTGATTAAATCCATAAAAATATAAAATCACCAATCTTAAATCCCTTGGTACTAAAATTTGATAAAAATTCAAACAGCCAGTGTGGTCTCTGAATGGATCAATTACCCTATAAATTGTCCCCACGAGACGGGAACATTTTTAAAAGAGTCTTTGTTTTCACCTTTCTTTTCCCATTGACAGACACCCTCTACCCAAACGAAAGTCAGTCGAAGGCACATCGAACGATGACGTTCGCAGAGAACGCCGAAGAGAAGCGAAGTTCCAGTGATCTATCGACCGCGCGACTCGCTATGGAGGATCCGCGTGACGTCCAGCGGTCATCGGAGGAGAACTCGAACGTGAGCACGGAGGGGAATCCGTTGTTGGAGTCCGATCGAAAATCTATATCGGTGAAGATCGAGAGTACGGCTGGGAAGTTGAAGAAGACAGACAGGGACGAGGAGGACCGGGCATCGATGAATAATTCGCGAAAGGATCCGGAAGCTGTTGCTCAGAAGAATGTCGCACCGCCGGATGGAGGTGCTCGAGCATGGATGATTATGATCGGCAGCTTTGTTATCAACGGTGTCCTCTTCAGTGTCATTAATACTTATTCCTTAATCTACCTCGAACTGCAGAAACGTTTATCGGAATCTGGAGAGACGGCGGCGTCCTCGAAGGCGGGTGAGCTTTTCCGTGATTTTTCATTGTATTCGATAAGTTTGTGTAGAAAGGTGCTTTTGATGGATAGTTGAATTTATTCTTAGTGTAATATTGACGTTTCGACTGGTATAAATCAGTACTTTTTATTTTGGTTCACCTTAATACATTTGAGAACGATGACTTTGCAAGTGAATCATGAAATATTGACGTTTCGACTGGTATAAATCAGTACTTTTTATTTTGGTTCACCTTAATACATTTGAGAGCGATGACTCTGCATGCGAATCATGAAATATTTGACTCGCGACTGATGACGCAGCATGTGGGTCACGTACAGCTGGGTGTAAATATTGCCAGCTGCTAAGGATTGTCTTGCAATAATATATCGGGTTCGAATGGGTTAAATAACTACTTTTTTGACAGTATTACAATATTAAGGAAAAGTGAATCTTAGTGAATAAGTTTTTTTGTTTTGTATGCAGTGTAATTTAAAAATTGTTAGAGTGATTATAGAAGGAATTCTTTTACATTTGTTGTTTAACTGATTAGGTAACGATTTGATCTTCTAGAGGGGTTCAATTTAATTTTGTTTTCAATCTCCTAATACAAGTCAGGTTTGTCATTGTGTATTTCAAGTTTAGAAATGCGTTCGAATATGGCGGAGAAGGTTTTAGAGTTTCGAATATGATTTTCGACGTTTTGTATTGAGATATTTGCATTTTCTTTCCACTCAGGTTTTGAAGTGTGATGTATAGTGTCAGTGAGTAATTATGATCAATTAAATGATGACTTCGAGTCAAAGTTATCCTGTTTATATAATTTGTGACACAGCTTAACTGTGTAACGTAAGTGACATACGATATGGATATAGACTGATTTTGGGAAGTTTGTAAGTCCTCAAGGGAATGGCACGCTAACATCACAATTTTTGTTTTATTTTTTTTTCACGCAATTTGTACAAAATATCAATTATATCGTTAAACCATTAACAGGCGCTGTATGAATATTTCATACACCAACATGGGAAAATATTATAATGGGATTAACAGGATAAATCCAATTATTTTTTCATTCCTTTTTTATACATTGTTATATCACAATGACATGATTCGATTGTGTTTCATGTGTGTGAAACCGATATTTGTACCTAGTTTCAATGCATTAATCATTATTGTGGGGCACTAATGACGCAGATGATAAGATAAAGTTCGGATTTGTCAGTAAGCGTAATATTACAAAAAGGTTTGGTCGTCAATGATTTCAGTGTCTAATTATTTCAACCTTGATGAATTCATAAATTATGAATATGAATTGCTAAGACATTCTTATAATATTTTGTATTTTGGTGATAGATACTTATAATACAGATATTTTTATTATTTAATAATATTATTTAAAAATTTGTATTTAAACTTTTACTTCTAATTTGGACTTATATTTATATATATTATACTTTTCGTTACATATTTTAATATTTCATGACATCAATGCTAAAGTACACACTTTTATAGTATTTTTATACAGTCGAAAGAAAGTGGAAAATACTGTTCCAAAAGAAAATGGAAAAATTTTCGGTTTTTAAGTTTGGTTCTATAAATCTCTGTCCCAAGTAACTCTTCAGTGCAGTCAATGAACCGCGTTATCTTACCATTTTTAATATTTACCAATTCTTTTCCTGATAACGCATTATCTAATAGTTACTTTTAACGACAGATCATTGAACTGTCTTGCTTCCATTCACATAATTTTACTTTCAGTTGTTCCGGATTGTTTTTTTTCTTTAACGATTTTTTTTATCATTAAAAAAGACAGTAGTTAGCCATTTAAAAATGTGGTACATTTAATTAAATCACTTTTTTAATCATTCGACAATATTTCTTTAGTAATATTCTGACCTTTGAAAATATCGTTCGTGTTTATAAAATTTCACGTGAAACGCCGTTGATTACAGGTAAAACTAATAACTTTCTGAAACAGTACATGTCGATTAACATATTTCATCAAAGTTTCAGTAAATGCATCGTTATCAATTTGAAACATATTTATAAGAAATTATACACCACTCATTTTGATTGTTTCTGTAGTTCCAGTGTTAACATCACCGAGAAATTTATTGTTTCATTGATTTCTTTCTAGGTATACAATAAAATAAGTAGCGTTGCAATATTTTCATATTACTTTAATATAAGTGGTTAACATTTGCATAACATGCATTAGGGATGTATACCACGTTTATCAAGAGTATTTACGATTAATTAGCGACTAGCTAAAATTATGTAAGCTCGTAATGGTTCAAATACCGATGATAAGAGTGCACATATCGTATTGTACAATTCCATTGTCAATTTGTCCGTGGCCTAATTGTACAAGCGCATGCATCGGAACTGAATTCTGCGTACCGACAGTTTCTTAGGTTTAATCATCGTTAAATGTGGCATGGGATAACTACTTGGGGTAGCATATCAATTAAACCGATCGATCAGGCTAATCATCCGTAGAGTCAATGCTCTGGACAACCTGGATCTGAATTAGTCGTCAATTACGTGGACATTAATAGTAACGAGGGTCAAATAATATTAATCTGGGGGTAGTTACTCTTTCAAATAAAACTAGGTCTTTCCTGAGCAATGCGGGTAATGAACGATGTCTAAGATCACGGGTGGATGATGAAAATCTCGCATTGATTGTTAAACGTGACATTATTTTGCGGTCTCCTTACTTGATATCGTTGGACTTCCACTTTCTTTCAATTGAACCGGTATTAGAAATAATTTTGCCACAAGTACGAACCTAGAGTTGTTCCTACGTTAATTTTTTCTAGAAAGGATCCATCGGTTTTGGCCCATAAAAAATTTTATCACAAAGTATTTCGTATTTGCCATAATTTATTTGTTGTTCCTTTGAGTGCATTATACAGTTAGTAATTGTTATATTAAATAAAGATATTTGTCACTGTCTATAAAATGATTCTGTTTAGGGTTGTTTTAAAGGGTTCTTTACGAAAGAAAATGTAATTGTGATAATTGATTATGATTAACAATAAGGTAACAATTCCCGACTCGCATTCTTAGATATCAGAAATTTATTAATACGAATTAAAGTGGCTGTAAAAAATAGCGGAATTTATCGTTGTTATAATGAAATGAATAATTTTTAAAATATTTGGGGTTTTATTTAATTAAAATTGAAGTAAGAGCATTTGCCTTTGGATCATTAGTCGTGCTTATCGATGACAAAATGAACGAATTATGATACATACACCCAAAATGATGGAATAAATGAGACATTCTTCATTTTGTAAGGAGGAGTTAATTGATTAAAGCCATTCATTATTCGTGTTTTCATTTCAGCTTTAGTAGGGTCATTAACAATCGGCACCACGTTCTTTTTATCACCGATCTCTGGCATTCTTACTGACAAAATCGGTATCCAGATGACAACGTTTCTGGGTGGCGCTCTTGCATCCAGTGGAATGTTACTCTCATCAATATTTTCTAGCCAGGTAAACAGTTTTTATTTGGCCTGATTTAAACTGACCTTCCTCCGTTCCTTTCGAAGGCATTATTATTACATTAAAATATTCAATCGAACGATTTTTTACGAACATATAAAAGTAGAAAATTAAAAGAATTGTAGTCCTTCATCTTTATAGTCGTACATTGCGATAAAAGTAACAATAAATTTCTTCCTAGGAATCTTATGTACAATATTTTTTATACACTACTATTTAGCATAGTCACATTAGATATAAAATCAGTACACACAAAGTTTATCCCCAATCGATTCAGTAGAACAGTCGTTGTTTATTGCCCTATTTCTCTTGACACACATATTAAGTTGAAGTTCGATTTAGAAGAGTTAATTCAATTGATTAAAAAAAAAGAGTGCACAATAATTATAATTATAATATTAAAACTGAAGTTGATTGATCTGTTTTCTGAAATAAACATAATTTAAGAACACAATAGCACAATACGAGCAAATTTTCCAAATGTTTATAGGCGCCAGTAATAGCGAAAGGATTGAGTAAGGTCAAGAATAATCAAGAATCGTAAAGGGTTATTTCGAGTATAGTAATTTACGAATTTACATCTGTTATAAATGCATCAAATGCTAAGTCTACGTATAATTCATTCAAATCGATTCTATTGTAAAATCTGTTCGCTTCAGGTGACGTTGCTGTATCTGACATATGGGGTGATGTACGGACTTGGGGCAAGTCTGGCTTATACCCCGAGTTTAGCGATCTTGGGGCATTACTTTAAGAGGTACTTGGGCCTGGTGAATGGTATTGTCACAGCTGGAAGCTCTGTATTCACCACACTTATGCCATATTTCATGGAGGTGATACTTCGGCGATTCGGATTGGAAGGCACGTTAAGATGCCTGGCCGTACTCACCGCGGTCGTCATGGCGTGTGCGTTACTTTTCAAACCAATTCCTTGTACGTATAATCGATTTTTATTATCTCCATTTTCTTTTTGCTTCATGTATTATCAATTACATCAATGTTATAGAATATAAGAGACACAGAAAAGATCAGTAAAATATTGATAGTAAACTAATTTTATAGAAAATTGAACTAATTCTGCAGATGCTAGATAAATATGAAAGTATCTTAAGCTAAAGAAAAATTAACTTTGTTTTACCTTTTAAGCTAGATCATTCAGGTTCTATTCCCTTTATTCATGCTCGTAGATATATTGTACAAAGTATTAAAGGATCATTTGATAAGATATTTCATACGAACTACGGAACTGTATACGTATTGTATCGTTCTGATTTTCTTGTATGTACACTTATTCAGATGTCTTTGCTATTTATGAGTCAATTGGATATTCATGGCGACATAAATTTTCCATGTAATTATAAAAGAAATTTGAATTACATTAAAAGTGAACAAACGCGACACAAATGTAGAAAAAGCAAGAACCAGGAAATGCTATGTACATATCTAAAACTTCCGATGAATGTCTCCAAATGAGAATGTTTCATTCGTTCATACGAATTTATACTGTAGAAACAATAATTTAAACGACTAAAAACAAATCTATATGTCTACAGTTCTGGAATCAATTGAAGTCAAAATCAAACTTCAAAAGCTGTTTGAAGGAGGTCGTCAACGTCTCCATTTGGAAGAAGAAACGATACGTGGTTTGGGCCAGTTCCATTCCCCTCGCCCTGTTTGGGTTAGTATTACTACAATTCAGCAATATGTGTTACAATAACCAAACGTATTAATGCTTTCGCTGCAACGTACGCTGTTCTGATCGTTTTCACACTTGAAACGATCACTCGCGTCGCGTAACCTTCCGATAGAAAATCTTTCCGACTATCTCGTTTCGTGGCTGGGATCGTTGATACTGAAACGATAGACGCTGTCACATAAAATAATTTCAACCGCCGCAGAAACCGTCGGAACTTGTGGCTCACAAGTCGGGTTGCGAAAGGAAAACCCGTTTCACGGAGTGGGCAGCCGCGTTGCACGGCGTGTGTAATTCAAACCATTGTAAAAGAAACAACCGCAGCGAAAGCGTCGAGCGTATAAAATGACATGGGTTTTCAGATCAATGAGAATGTTCATTTCAGGTATTTCGTCCCGTATGTTCATATAGGGAAATTCGTTGAGACAGTGTTCAAGGGCGCGGATGGAAAGCTTCCAATCATGTGCATCGGCATCACATCTGGTCTCGGCCGATTGATCTTCGGTTATATCGCTGACTTGCCTAAGGTGGATAGAATACTGTTACAACAGGTAGATAGCCAATAAGTATCTTGTACTCCTTCAAACTATCTTCCAAAGCATATAAACTCTTTAAAACTTTGCACGTTTTATTCAAATGCGATGGTCAGTTACGATTAAAGTCAGATTATTTTTCTCAGTACATTATAGTTTTAAAATTTGTTGTTTTAATGTTTTCTTATTTTTTTGTTTTTCAGATATCTTTCATTAGCATTGGCGTTCTTACGATGCTTCTTCCTGTCACACCTTCCTTCGTCGTGTTGTTACTTATTTCTTTGGCGATGGGATTATTCGATGGGTGCTTTATATCCCTTTTGGGCCCCATTGCCTTCGATATATGCGGCCGAAAAGGAGCCACTCAAGCTATTGGCTTCTTACTGGGCATGTGCTCGATACCATTGACAGTGGGTCCGCCAATTGCTGGTCTGCTGTATGATCATACCGGTAATTCCATTTTTATTTATACGATGTGTTCGGCTACTGACATTAAAAACATTAAGGAGGTGCAATTCTACGTGGCAAAATACGATGAAACTCAAGAATGATAAAATTATGTTGGTGGCTTCATTTTCAAGATATTAACAGTAGGGAACGACAGTACCGGTATGTACATTGGCGTCGCCTAACAAAAATACACCGTTATCTCGCTGACAAAAAAGTAATGTGTAACATCTACCCTTGAGCCTAGACTATCTTATTGCGACACACAAATTGTTCTACAACATTAACTTTGGATACACGTTCGAATTGACATTCCAATTATTTATCGTTAATTACTTGAAAACGAAGCCTCGAACGTAATTTTGTGATTCTTGGTTTTCGTTTTATTTTCACATGTACGATTAACCCTGGAAGTTTCTAGCTTCAGTAGCCGAACACGCTGTATAAAAGTAAATTATTGTTCATGTTAACAGAATACAATGAGGTATAGAAATGATAAAAAAAATCCTTATACATATACAGGGTGGATCGTAATATTAATTATAATTATAATTCTAATCAAACCATATTAAATATTAGGTCAACTAAACTTTTCCGTGCCAAATTTCGTTTTCGATAAAATCGACTTTAAAGTAAGATCGATGAAAAACAAGTAGTATTTATCATACCATTGATTGTGTTCATTACAAGTAGAAATAGTTAGCATTGGACAGATACATGAGTCAGTTGTATTTAAAAGTAAACATAATTAATGAAATTCTTTTGAAAATGAATTTCTTTTAAAAATGAAAAAATTATGTTATATATTTTACCTTCTTTCTGTACGTATAAAACTTATTTACATTATTATTCCATGTACAATCACCTCTTTTTCGTCTATACTGGGATTTACGATCCATCCTGTGTAACTTATATAATGGCTTACGTGACAGTTAGTTGTCTGTGATTAATTGATTGAGTTCTTTTATCGTTGTTTTAACAGGTATATTTGATTTTTGGTGTTTTTGTTTGTTTAGGTAGCTACGATCTACCCTTCTTTCTAGCAGGTATACCACCAATAGTAGGGGCACTGATGATGTTCCTAATAAAGTTCGTTAAAGATGACGACCAGAACTGTATTAGAGAGAACGCGGATAGTAAAGCGGCTAGTCAGAATGGTCGGTAAACAGGTATTTGTGCATCCTTCACATCTAACTAACAGAGTTTGTTTCTCCATGTGGTATCGAAAACACGTGCGTGTCGGTTTGTAAAAACTGTTTTCACGAAGGCGATTGAAACTTTCCATGGAAAGCTTTTCGGATAAAATAAAACACGAATCCGTCTGCTGTCGAGGGGGACAGAGCAATTGGTAAAATAAATTCAATATTTTGAGAAAATATGTCTGCATATTTTGCCCAAAAAAAAACGATTGCCTTTATTCTTCTTTCACACTCTGCATCATCTGTTGGAGCCTACAGCATGCTTCATTATAGCTACACCAATTTCTTTTGCATGGTACTTTTTCGAACGCTAATCAAAATTAATCGTGTACACTATTTGAGAGCTTTGAGATATGCTTGTGAGTAACAATAATGTGATTTCTATAATTTCTAAACAGTGTTTGTTTTTAATCATTGTTGGGGCAATAGTTCTTAGTTATACGACTATTAGATGGTTCGGAAACTTTTTACCGTTTTAGAACGAAAAATTACTGTCTATAGTTTGTAATTTCTATCTTACTTTATCAGCAAATGTAGCTTTCCCTTCTTTTTGCAATTTCTTATTTTTAAACAGTTCTATTATAGCGGTTGTATAAAATATATGTGCATCTGCTTAAAGCACTGTAATATGTTTATTTGACTTGGATTTCACAGAGAAAAAACAAAAGTTCTAGACATAACTCGCATAGTGTATACATATCAAAATGTGTTTATAAGGCAGTGTATGTACACTGTATCAAAGAATTTTTCATTTCTCCAGTAGAAATAATAATAAAGATACTGGTTGTAAAACAGTATGATTTTTCTGGGCGATCTAATATTTCACAAATTTTTCAGATTTTCATCCATTACTAATTCTCCCGTGTCATTGTATTTGATAGAGTATAATTTGTTTGTGTTTTATTATATATTTTATCTACAACTTTTAAGTCAGTGTTACAGATTCTGTACATTTTCTAACATGATAATTTATGCAAATAAGTAGACTAACTGTGGTAGTAAAAGCAGTTCGACATGGGCTAAATTTTGATGTCTGAACGTCGATTTGATACATATATGTTTATTTTTTATCGTACGTTATTATCTTACTAACACTTTTACTATCTGTGAACCCTAAAAGTGATAACAAGAATAACCTACAGAACTCTGATTTCTCTGCGTTCCAATTTCTGGATACTAATTTACTTGTTTCAATTTTCGAGATTGTGTATAAAAGACAAAAGTCTTTGTTGACGGTTTATTCGATTCTTTTACAATGTTTTACCAAACAGTCGAAATATATATTCAGTATTTTTTACCATGTTTCTTCTGTGTACTTTGTACAAGCAAATGTAGTTTTGAAAACTTCTCTTTTCTCTACTGAATCTAAAATGTCTATAGGTTTTCTTCTAACTGCATATTAGGCCTGTGCATACGTAATTACGTTTTTTATCATTAGTATTGTTTATTTATACCTGTAAACGTTGAATTACTGCAAGATGCTGAATCATCAATTATTTCGCAAGCTCATAATATGATTATTCGTCCAATCATATCAGTAAATTGTTTACTTGCATTCCCTAGAATTCCATCATTAATTCCACAGATATCTCTCCTCGGAGTAGTACAATATATCATAATGGTAATGTATCAAGCTCAATTTTCATAGAAATTGAATATTAATGTCAGTCACAGAAGAAAACCTATATCCACCTGTTGGGATCATTCGTATTAACAGCCGATGAATCATCGGTACGGTACGGTATAAAATATAAGAAAACCGTGTAGTCCGCAACCAAGACATTTGGAACATAAAAGAAATTATTTATGCACCGACCGAGGGCACTATACCATTATTCCATATAATCCTGTTCTTTTGAAAGAACCTTCTCGTGGGTTCTCTATTCATTAACAGCAAGGTGAAGGTATTTTCCAGTAATTTCTTAACACTGAGTGCCTACTGCATCCCCTGAAACCATTCGCTATGTTTAACAAGTATAAGTTCTTTTGTGAATACATATTCCCGCCAATTCATCCGTTGCTCGCTAGGACTCGTCTGAAAACGGTAGACTGTACTTCCTACCCTGAATTGTGAAACTGTTTTACTTACGATTCACAGAGTACTCGAGCATCGACTTTCTGTCCCCGTGCTTCGTGGCGACTCTGAAGGACATGTGCGATTCACACGAGCAGCCAACCCGGAAGACGACGCGTCTCGATCTGCACAACCATTACTCGAAACGTTGCGAACTTACGGAACGCCCCGTGTATCGGGATCACGGGAACAACAACTGTCCCGTTCATTATGAACATTCGGAAAGTGTGCCATTGCTATACGGTGAGATTGAGTCGTTAAGACAAAACGCTGGTATCCACCAGAAGACATCACAGTCATCGATTTTTCTTTCGTTTTGATTTACAACCAAACCGTAACGGACTTCGATGAAGTTGTGTCAATAAAGACATTGAGGCTTTTGTGGCCCAGGTTTTTTTTTTCGGTTAAGTATGCGGGGTACTTTTGGAAAATATGGTCGACGTTTTGTCGGCATTAGGGATTCGATTAGGGGTTTAAGGATTCAGTATTGATCCTTGCCACGTCGTGTAATATTGATTAGTTGTTAATTATTAGAAAATTCTTATTATTTGAAAACTAGTTCTCTCACAAAAAGATGACCGGAAGACGGTAGGCTCTCGTATTGGAAGTAAACTTGGGTCATCCTTGGTGATTGCAAAATTCTTCGGAATTTTGTACTGAAACTGTTGAAGAACTACCGGGGATTATTATTAGATTTATTTACTCAACATGATCGATTGATAGTTGGAAAGAGGAAAAAAGATTTTTATTATTCTTAAAACGGGGGAAAAACCAAAAATTTTTAATAATTTAATTGAGGCAAACTATAACTAAATATTTTTCGAAAGAATATTGATTATATCTAAAAGGCTATTTTCAAGAGGATACTCTGGAAGTAATAATAGATGTACTAGATCTGTTTGCCATTGTTAAAGCACGTAGTCAATGTGTGTTGTTTCATCAGCCTTATTAGTCGTTCTACAAATGCTATAAGAATCGCAAATTTTAGTGGTTGAAAGTAGAATTTCGATTAGATCTTGTGGTTTTATCAAGTTAGACGTGCCTCGATAAATTTTACCATGTTTGCCAAAGTTTGTCGCAAACAAACTAAAGGTGGGATGATTAGTTAATGAAATTCATGAAGTATAGTGCAACGAAGTCAATTTTACGAGAATTGGAAATGTTTCAGAAAATATTAGATAGATTATAGATGTTTATATAGTACAATAGAAGATTAGAGACATTCGATTCGATAAGTAATACTCATGTTAACCTTTTTAAGAAAGGGGTCGTAAAAGGCAATTGTTCCTCGAGTATCGCAAACAATTCGATAGTTTATTTTTACGAAACAGAATTCTATGGAAATGGAGAAGGTTTTTAAGAAAATACATTCTGTGTTTTCGTTGTGCATGCCATTTTTTACATTTCTCGTAATTTCCAAATAGTTAATATAAATCGTAATTTGTGTGTATAGACTTGTACATGGTCAGGCATGATACAATATTTTGAAGAGCAGTTTCATCATTTTAGTGGATACTAAAAAAAATAGTGACAAGCAATATGCTTAAAATATAAATTGAGCTTTTATCGAAATAAATATTATTACAGTGGTAATATCTATTTTAACAATTGAGAAGATAATTTATCTAAGATAAAATAAATAATACTTTTGCTTGGCTGTGTACAAAACTGCATTAATATGATTATTATATTCTATTCATCAAAAAAGCATTTTTGTAATGAATTACAACTATGATGACATTTACTTTTAACTGCCACTTGTTATACGATGGCATTTATAGTCGAACGCATTATTTTATCTAATTTTCATTCTAATATTTGTTTTAAAATTTATTTTCATCAACTTTAAACAAAACGGCGGTGTCATAACATTTTTAATTAAATGGAATTTCCTTGATATAACTTTTGGCACTTTTATGTTTCCTTGCCAGTCTTGAAAAGATACGATATTTTCTAAGAAATATTGCAGGTAAAGAATTTTTAAATAGAATAATAAATGCATATTTTTATTATACTTTGTACTCACAATTTGAATCGCATTTCAATGTTTCATATCACGAAATTTCTATATTCGAATGATCATTCATTCTTTGCTTTATTTTGCATTATTAATTGGTTCGTAATATTATACAATTTTCTAAAAGTCATATCAGACAATTATTCGCAATAATTATTGAATAATTCGTCTATTCTTTTCATTCAAATTCTTTTTATTACAACTAATTATTAAACGTAACAATCGATGTAGTTTGATTTTACTTAAGCCATAGTTTATTTTTATACCGTAACGAATTTTCACAGTGACACAAATAACAATACAAAGTACCATATTTTTCTAATGTTAGGTAAAAAAAGAAAAGTTATTTTTCCTATAACGTTGTACATACTATTGTTAGTTTCTTGTCAATGTATGTAAGATTAAATGAGAGCAATAAAGAGATAAGAATGTTACGAGAACTATATCGAAATATTAATTAACCCTATTATGTACTGATTTTGAACCTTTTACGTATTCAGTCACATCAAAATATTATTTGTTAGAAAAAGCATGATCAGTATAACTTATTTTCTTTTCCAAAAAAGTAGCAAACGTTGCGTTGTTCATAAGAGATCTCTTTTTCATAGCTTTTTTTCATAATATAAAAAAATATTACAGTGTCGATGGAAAGAACATGGTATAGTGTAGGTCGATTTTATTACATGGTATTCTTCTTTTCTGTAGAAAATGCGTTGTGTTATTTTCATCCGTTGAGAAACTGTCAAGACGTATTCTTTCACGGAAAAATAAATGTGACTGCAGGTTTCATTCTTCTCTGGAAAATATTGCGACGTTGCCTCTGTAAGGTATTCTTTCGTATATTATTTCGTATATAATAGGATTTAAATTTTTAACCATTATTTTTAATTTTTTTGAAATGTTAATAATGAAATGGAACAGTAATCGTAAGTGGGTCGTTTTATTGAAATTAAAAACTCTATCACGGTGTTACGATGATAATGTTGTATTTATTACTTTATACGATAATCTGTACGAATATTTATCGTCAGTGTTCTATTCTTTATTAAATATTCTCGAATCCTCTGGAAGGCAAGATTAGTAGTAAACATGTTTCCAATCTTAATTTTTCTTTTGTGTAGAAAAAGGGAATATATTTCTTTGCAAAGGTTACTTTTCAATAAAAATTAACTGGAAAACTTTATTTACCCTTGACAGTTTAAGACTTTATTTGTTTACTGTTGTATGAACGAATTATTATTACTAATTGTTTAGGCAGTAACAGTTTAGTCGCCAATTTTATCTTCTATCTCCTCTATGTACCATACATTAATGAAATTTATATGATTTATTGCAGAATTAGTTTAACGAATGTAGTCTAATAAAGTTAGTGTAACACATGTAGAACAATATGGTTTTTATTATACACAGCTTTTTACAGTGCAATAATCATCTATCATGTGTAGTCTATTTTATACATGCTAGACAATATTTGCTAAATAACGTTTGTCATTTAGTCTTATAGAATAAACGATGATTTATTTTGTACCTGTACGAGAATACTTCTGGATGAAACATTAGATTGGTGCATATGAAGTAGGTATCGTTTTTCCCAACCATATCTTCATTTACATACATAAGTTTAATCAGCGTAATATTTTGAAGGTGTTAATTCAAGTGTTAGTATTAAAGACATTTATGGAGAATAATGTTTATTTTTTCCTCAGTTCCGAGAGTGATCTGTTTATTACGATCTATAAATTCTGTACAATTGTTTACACAAGTTTGCAGAAAATTTCCAATAGCTACTCTGCAAACTTTATGCACTTACAGGAATACACTAGTACGAAAAACACAGTAAAATAAAAAAGCTTCCCTAGAAATAAAAACATTTTTGTATTATATTTCCAGTACAACCTGGGTTAATTTCAGTACACTGAAATAATCTACATTTAATCTTTATTCCACATCGTTCGGTAAATCGAACCAGGTGGAAGAAAAAAACTGTAAAAAAAGGTACACAAAATATATTTCCAATAAAAGTAGATATCTATGTTACACTTCAGAAATATTACACGGTTCTGGCGCGTCACATTGTAATTCAAAACATTTCATATGCACCAATAGATTCACAATATTTAGCTACCTAAAGTAATCTCACAATTTCTCTTAAACAGGAACAACGTTACCGTTTCCAGTACACCACACCAAATTCTGCGAAGTCATTTTAGTTCTGTTCTATCTATAGCCATATTCGTTAGCAGCTACGAGCTCGATTGTCAGCCGGTTGTTACGGGTCGTTTATTTAACGAAAATATGGCCTGGCAGGAACGGGAAGGTGTTGTAAATGTAAACGGGTCGATTAAAGGCAAAGGAATTCGCGATGGCTAGGGCCGGATTCGCGTCGAAGTCTTCTTCGGGAACGCTCGGGGGCGTCGTTGGCTCCTTGGTTCTCGGCGTCGTTGTGGTTCTTCTTGTCGTCGTCGTTGTTGTCGGGGCCGTGGTTGTGGTGAAAACTGGTGGCTGGCTTGTAGAGTCCGGCGGTTCATAGGCTGGTAATCCGGGGGGCCCGTAATACGCATGCAATCGATTGTCGGTGGGATTAAAGCGTTGACCATTAGGACGCCATCCCCTTGGTTTATATGGCGATAAATCGGACGTTGCCAGTCCGATACAGAGAAGCACGAGGGTCAACTGGAAAATGGAAAAGCAATTAATGGCTTAGCTGTCGCCCGCGTTTCCGGCTGTCGTTCTGTTGCTGCCTTCTGAAAGGCGATCAAGAAAGCGTTAGTAAAAATTGCGCCCACGTTTCACGAGTCGTTAAAATCTGGGACCTATCAAAATTCGACATTTTTATTGAGACGATTTGATGTCATCGAAACAGTCACGCGCGGGTGTGATTGAATTGAGTCTGTTGTCATTGATTTTGTCAGGAAGTCTGATTGAAATTATTGCGAGGTTTGTAAACTTAAATGGATTTAGCGACAGTTGAAACGTTTTTGAAAAATTGGGAAACGATTAGTACTCCAAGTGTAGCTTTTATACAACAGTATACGAAATTTAATTAAAGACCGGAATCGTTGCTTTCTTAGAAGGTATTATACAATTCACGTATACGATGCCAGACTATCATACTTAAAGCAACGCACACGATCGGATAACAGTGTTGTCGGTGATAGTTAATTCGAATTAAATAACTTGATCAAGTTTCACCGATGCAGTTTTAAGTTAATTTACTCTCAGCGAGAAGGAACGAAATAATACACGGGTCAGTTAATTAAGTTAAAATTATCTACGTTCATTTAATGAATATTTAACGTACGATGAATATTTAAATTGAAACTCGAATTGATCACGGGAACAAAGCAGATCCGTGACGTATGAACTTGCACTGATGAGGAACGTTTCGATGAAATTCCAAATACTCAATAATTCAACGTTCATAATAAAACGAATGTATCTCGTTACCGTTTTCCTCATTCTTGCTGGCCAGGACCGTTAACTTCGCGCCGAAAATTTTGACTGGCCTTTGCCTGTGTCTTTCATCCGTCTTTATATGCGGGCGCACGTTTATGAGATGGCGTCTAACCAACGTGAATACGAAGCGATCCGAAACGATTTCGTTTCGTTGGTTATTGCTGATCGTTTCGTAACTACTGTAGACCTATATTACGTGGCAGGAATGATTATCGATCGACAGAAGTATCACGATGGCCACGACTTCACTTTGATATGTTTCCCTCTTCTTACAGCAGAGATGGGCAAACTCATTATCTAGATAAAAAATTTCGAATAACAAATAAAAGATAAAAAAAAATATTTCGTCATTTTTAATTGTTTAAACGTGGAAATTTTTTAAAACAAAATAATACTTCTTTATGAATGAATCGACATTTGTCGAACAATTATTTAATCTCATTAACTGTTTAAAGCTCAGAACGACACCCTTAGATACTGCTGCTTTTCACTGTGTATTATTCGAATAAAATTCTGCCCAACTCTGTCTCACAGTCAGTCACACAGTAGCATGTTTTCTACCATTCAGAATGGAAAGATTTTCCATTCATTCGTACTTATAATAGTAATTACTAGATTGTGGAACTTTATGCAAAATTATATTTTTTGAAGTGGTTTGTAAAGGCAAATGTAAAAATTGGATTTTTTTTCCTATTCTTAAGGATGTTATTATGTTAAGAATGAAACAGAAATTGTATTAAGTCTAATGTTAGCTTTACATGCATTTAATCCGTAGTCTAGTAATCACTAGACTGGGAATGTTTACGCAAATATAGAATTTTATAGGTTAATTTACAGACGCTGGGTTCCAACAGAAATTTATTTACTTGATTAAATGTTTCAATTTTTTTTTATCAAACTCTTAACTACAATAACCTCTAGTCAATCGCGTACTCTATAAATGCATAAAATCCGCAGTCTAGATAGTAATCGTCGTTTAAATAGTGTTTTATTTAATTTAACAGTGCAACACTAGAATTACCGATGATTGTATTGAAAAACGATAGAATAAAGTGATAAATAAATATAGACGGTTATCCACTTTTATCGAATTTTAAGTGTTAAAGTAATAGTTTTTTCGAAAATACATTTACACAATTAACATACATCCTAAGAAAGTGTAAAAAAATTGAGTAATTTTATAAGAATCCTCATCTTCAGAAAAATAAATAAAAATGCTACTGGAGACTGTCTGAAAGTGTGAGTCGTAATATCAGTCTAATAACCATTAAAACTATTGAAAATTGTATTTTATTTCAGGAATAAACGCGTGTTACTGTTAATATTCATTCTGTTCACGCTTGAACATTTATCTGATTAATCAATAATTTCCAGTAATCGCACCAGTTCATTGACGGGTTGTTACGCAAGGGCTCATAATTTTACAGACGACTAAATGTAATTCGACCAAATTCGTGTTGATAAATTCTGTTACCAAAGTACCGTTTCGGCCAATAATGGTTTAAACAATTTCAATTATTCACTTGGATGAATAATTCCTCTCAATGAACCGTGTTTAGTAAACATGTGAAAATTCGATTGAGAGTTTCATTTATATGTGCATATTTGATAAAAACTGTATTGATCGATTAACGTTAATACAAGACATTGTCCATGACACTAGTTGTAAATTAACACTTGTCTCTTTACGGAATAATTTCTTTCCCGAACAATAATCTCTATCAGAAAGTTTAACGAAGTTTTATGAATTTCTTTTGTGAATTTAACCCTTCAAAGCTACCGTGAATAAAATTTCACTTCATGCGAGTTTTATTTTAATACTATCAAAAAATGTAATAACTGGTAACACTAATTGTTTAGACATTTATTCATATTATTAACAGCGATAATGTTATTATTAGATAAATCAGTTCTTCCATATTTTGAAATAAACGTAACAAACAAAATTAGTATGCGGTTATTTTTATGGTAGCTTTTAAGGGTTAACTTGCAGTTTTCAAGATGAAGTCACGCGAAGAAATTAGCTTGCATTCTCATCCATTATCCGTTTCCATTCATATCAAGCGATCTTCAATTAATCTATCATCAAACTAAATAATAGTTCCCTTTAAATAATAGTATATACCTTATGAATTAGTAAAATTCACATGGTAAACTTATTATCACTATTATTTATTCATACAAATACAGTAAACTACACCAATCAATGAAATCCGTAGTTTCATAATTGTACACTAATAAATAATTAACAAGCGTTTGCAGTTATGAAATAGAAAAGTCACTCAAGCAAATTAGTACATATCAACTGCCATAACAGCCTAGTCAAATAAATTAAAATGTTGCTTACTTCCTTTTCATTAATTAGCAGGATCACTATATCCTGGTATTACTGGTATTACTATGCTTGTGTCTAGCGGAATCTAATAAATCCGCGACACTGACAATTTCCGAGAAAGCAGCATTATCGGAGGTCTTCACCTGTCAATCGCCAACGAATTGGCTGGCGAACCCGTTATTTACAAACATCGGCTCGTGCTCGCTGAAAATTTCCCCGCGGGGCACAAAGCACCATCATCCCCCGTCCGTGATGGGTAATTTCCTTCCCGTTCTACGGCTGCTTTAAAACGCACCGGCGAAAGCACACCTCTCCCCCCTCCCCCCTGTCGTTGTAGTACATAATTTTGTCATGGCTTACGTGAACGCGGCACGTGTCCCGAATTCACGATGCATTATGAATTCGCAAGATCGTCGGTCGACGGTGCTCTTACGCGTACGAATTCGATCGGCGTGGTCCAAAAACGTGGCATGCAAACTAATTACCGGATTGACAGTGAAGCTCACCCGACTCCGATCTGGATTCCGGTTGCGGACCGCTTAGAACTCGCCGGCTCCCAGACGGCTCCGAAGAATCCTGTGTACAACATCGACAGAATATGTGAGCGTTCGTTTCTTCTCGATCAGACATTTTTGGTGTTTTCGTGGTTTGTTTGCGTGCGGTATCCACAGAGGGGTTACGGTAATTTGTGTACCTTATGTGTGTTTACTCTTCGTCGTTTTGTTGTTACTTCCGTTCCTTAGATAGTTTTACGACCATAGTCGTTGGAAATACAGTAGGAACTTCGATTGTACCAACTGGGTCAGGCGACATTCCGTTCGGATAATTGAACAATGATCTTTTCACGGAAAACATTAGTATTTATTATATATGTAATATTATATGTTACATGCTGTGGTAGAAAGGTGCGAACAAATTTATTTTGACTTTTTCAGGTTTTTTTTTATAGGTAAAAATATGCTCTTTACAGTGAGACCAATCCCAATTTCTTAGAATAATTGACTTGAAAATTCACAATTGAAATCATGTATTGATAATGAAAGTAAACTATTTAATTAATTGTACTATATGTACATACATATTTTGATCAGTATTAAACGAAATAAGTAACACCATCCAGCGGGAAGTAGGAATTTTGACATGCGAGAGAAAACAGCTGAAAACGAAACAGCAAACCTACTATGCTGTGCAGAACTTTAAACGCGTTTGTCCTGATAAGTCGTTTTCGCACGTTAACGTTTTTATACCAGAACACATCACATATAATACTAGTACATTTACTTAAATATTGAAAATATTTTGTGACACTTGTTTTTAATTATGATACCCGAATAATTTTCTGAATCCTTTATAATTGAATTTTGGAGGTTATACATTACTGAAAATATTCTTTGCACCACTCCAATATTATGCACGTTATCACTTATCCCTCTGTTATTATTAATACTCGGACAATTAATTAAAGTAAATATTTATTGCAAAAATGTGTGGCTCCGTATCTGGGATAAAATAAGTTGGATACGAATCACTTTGTCAATTATATTGCTATGAAAATTATGCGTACAACTAAGAAGGTATTTTTGGATTTCATACTATAATGAACATATAAATGGCTATAGACTTACAATGATATAAAATATAAATGTATAGGTAGATGATTTGAAAGTCACATGGTGTCATATTGGGTTAATGAAGTATTTCCACATTATAGCAGCGCTTTGTTGGAAATTGTAATGGCGTCTCCAACCTCACCGTATCATCTTCTAGGAATCTTTACCATCAAATTATAATTCATCTTTCTGATTCATTTCTTTACCTACTTTTTGGATTAGTTACTTCATAGACGTATTCTGCAGAAAATTAATAGTTTTCGTGTCTGTATACGTTCTTTTATGTTATTCGCTATCACTGCTCGATATAAAAAGTGGCGGCTAATTGAAATTGCATAATTATTCTTGGCAGGCTCTGTATTTTTTGATTCGCTATGATCGATTTAATTGTACAGTTAAAATTAAAAATTAGAAATTATAGTTTTAGAATCTCTGAAGCCAGTGAGCACGCTTTCAATAACAAACGAAGAAAGAATCTTTAAAATCATCCGGAATATTTATACAAAATTTTCCATTTATCTTCGTCGACAAATGAGTGCCCGAATGAATTAAATGGAATTTATCGATCTACATTGCCATCGCGACCACTCGAGTCCATTTGTGGTGACCTGTCGTTTCCGCTTTTCGTTCTCCACCGTTATCGATAATCCATAAGTCCCTTTGTGATAATCGCAATCTCGACGGATACGGAGACCACCCTCGCGTCCCAATCGAACGTGTTTGTGCTGTCAATAGATCAATATCTTTTTTGGCGGATGTGTTTGACACCGGCTGCCAGACTCCCAAGATGCGGCAATGGACCTTGTCGAAAAACATACTGCCAGCAGCTTTTACATACGACGATTTTGCAATTTAAAGTTTTGATAAATTTTAGTTTCAGTAACTGCTTTTGTTCATTATGCTGTGTAAAAGGTAAAGTTGTTGAATTACCACTCAATCTATTTGGTTCGTATTGTGTTATTTCGAGAATCTCTTTCGGAGTGTCTGTTATTGGTTCTTTTTGTTGTTGTTAATAACTCATTAAGTCCCAAGCAGTGAAATAAGGTGATTTCACTTATGCATATAATTACTTAGTACTCATAAAAGTGTATAGGAAAGAATAAATACTATCAAAAAATTTTTGGATCGGTACTTTTTATTTTACAGAATGTTACGTTTATGCAACTTTGGGAAATTTTGTATAGGAAAAGGTACATAAAATAACATATATGATTTTGTCGAAATATAAAAAATGCATTATAATACTAGACATCATATTATAGAAGCCCACTATATGAAAAAGATATACCAAAACATTACCATGATTAAAAAAAAAATTAGTTCATCATAGTGCTATAAATACTTTAATTTCTTTAAATTTCAAACCGTCGTAGGATCTAAGTGGAAGAAGAAATAGTGACGAAAAATCTATGAAGCAAATCTACGAAATCCTCTTTCATAACTACAACACGAAAAACAGAATTTAATAACGTAAATTTACTGAAAAAAAATTATGTCCGAAATGTTTGATTAACGTAATGTTGAGTCTTAATGTGTTAAAGGGAAATGGTGTTAATGTAAATTGTCTAGGGTATCACTCATATTACTTATGTTATTACACGAATTATTTTAAGCACGAGGAATAAGAAATTATTTACTACACTAACTTATTAAAATCACTTTTTTATATTCACTATTGTATTACTGCTCGAGCAGTTTATCCAGATGGTTTCTTTCAATATTAATTACAAGCTACAATTAAATTTGCGAATATAGTAATCCACTGGTAATTCAGTGTATCTGGTGGAAAAATCTCATAAAGAGTTTATCGTATTACGTAAAAAATATGGTCATTACTTGTTTTGTAGTACAATTTTGCTTGTAAATTGATCTGTCAGATGAAACGGTAGAGTTTTACGTCAAAAATAAAATTGTTCCATGTATTTCATGTAACGTTCACATCCAGTGAAATTTAATTGAATGTCATCAGAAAAACTGAAATTACGTAAAATTTTATTATTGCTGTGGTCTACGACTTCTATAACAGTGCAACTCATTAACCCTTTGCACTCCTAATTCTTTTTTAATTTTCTTTCAAATAACTCCTTATTATTTTAGGTGTTCTATTTTAAATGTATTTCACAAGACAGTTGGCCGATAAGAACCAATTTAAACAATTCCTTTTGCTTAAATATTGTGAAATACAATACATATTTAAACCGACAATTTAAAAATGTCAAGTGTGACGCGACATTTACTAGTTAAATTTAATTCTTGAATGAAGCTAATTTACAGAAAATGAATCCATATTTTTCCTATAACACTGTTTCCCTATAAAAAAAGTTGACGAAGAGTTACATAGAAATTAATGAAATTAATGAAAATATTTTCAGCATCAAATTTTTGCAAGTAAATAAGAGAAAATCATACATATACATATTGCAATTTAATCCAAAATGACTGTTCTGTACTTGCTTATACAAAGTACCAAAAATATTACAGGACATATGTTCTAAGTGTAAATGAAGAAATGAAAAACGTAATTAATTTATACCTTCTTGAGACTTTCTATTCTATACAAAATTACATAAGAAAGAACAGAAATTTTACTACAATATAAACGAATTTTCAGTAGCAATTTGTTTGTACCAAATGTTGTTTTAATAAAACAATTTCTCATTTCTGTTAAAAGAAAACCATAATTCAATAATGTAAATTAACTGAAAAAAAAAATGCAAATGAAATATTGCATTAATGCAATGTTAATCCTTTAGTGGGATAGTCTTCAACAGTTCTGATGCTAATAAATTTCTATGTATCAAACTGACTGCAGAAAATACGTCAATTTTTCATATACAATCACATGTAATGAAACAAAACAATATCGATAGGTGATGTTATTTTGTAATCATGTTCGGACAATGTCCCATTCATCTTAGTTTTTCCATCGAGAGACATGTAAATCTTGTCGGACAAGTCGATGGTCTTGAAAAATGGCGAGTAGCAGGACTTTTATCGTCAAGGAATATCCTCGTCCTTGTTTTCTGGAAAGAAGCGCAGGACCGAGGGGCGTGCAGTGAGTGCTGTATCTGACACGTGACATGACGTGTGCACCACTTGTTACTCGACCAGAATACTTGATATACCCGATCAGAGAACAAAAGTACCCAATGTGGACTATTATATTTTGCGCTTTCGATCAAGCCAGCACTTCCATCTGTCGGTTGCAGAACGTTACGTGGGATTCCGTCTGGACGCTCAGACGAGACATTATTCACCGTTCATCTATTTTTTACCGTGGACCCGCGGTCGAAGAATTATCGAAAACGGGAGAAAACGACTGGTTTCCTATTCCGAGCCGATATTTTCCATCGTAATCGGCCGACAGCCTGGAAATATTTCCACGAACGCAGACGATTCCGTGCTTTGTTTCCGTTTCGTGATCATTCTACACTACCGTCCATAAGTATCTGGACATAGTACACTGTCGCTATTAGGATGTTATTTTTCAGCAAATAAGACTATTATTTCTGCTGCTACTGGAGTGAACAGCCTCATTTGGATAATTTTAGAATGGCAGCAGGCTATCCTATCGGTAATTCTTCATTAGAACTCGAGTTCGCAATTCCTTGCACTGTTAAATTAATTCTATCCAAACTCTTTGTCTTATCGATATGCCCTTCTATTTTACATGGCTGATTTCGTTAAAACGCATGAAAGTACAACAGAAGTTGGAAAAAGGCAGTTAAAACATATAACATAGATATTCTATGCGTATATTTTTATTCAACTTTGGTAACAGCACCTTCATCCATATTATTTGTTAATAAATATCATTTATGTTCTTCTATAACAATTTAATATATTTAATTTTGATAAGGTAAAGTTATCAAAATCAATAAAGATATTTTCAGTTTATAAACATTTGTAGAATATTTCACAGAGTTACATCATCATATAAGTGGCTGGATACTTCTGGGCGGTAGTTTATCATTTTTTGAGAGTTTCATTTTCCTCGAAAATAACGAACAGTAAGTCAAATACTTTTGTCCAGCTAAGTATAGATGAAACTTATTTTATATTTTTTTTAAGGGTGGACCTTCTTTTATTATTAGTAGAAATCATTTAAAGAATACAAAATGTAGAATGTTTCTTTGTAACAGTGTAAGGTAAAGTTAGAATATTTTGAGGCAGAATGAATGATAGATAGTTTTCCCCAAACGTTTCTGAACCAAAATGGAAAATGTATGTTTACTTGAGATATTGTTGCTTTCTCCTATAAATTTGTCAAATAGCGTCTTTCAGATACACAGTTTAAAATACATACTTCGTGCTTTAAAGTGGCGGAAAGAGCGACAGGCGAAATAATTTAAATGTCTAAAATTGTATTAAACTTTTCTTCTGCCCTCTTTCTCATAATTTCTGGTAGTGGAAGTAGGCGCAGAGAGCTAAATAAGGCGAATACAATCGTTAACAAAATCGTTCAATATCTATCGAGCATAGAAGTTACGAATACTGATGACTCACGAAGTCAGACGTTTCGATCGCCTCTCTTTCCGCCATCTTGAAGAACAGCTGTCGCAGCAGTTTCCTAAGTTTGTATAATAGTTCTGTACACTATATTTCTTCACACAGAAACTGCTTGAAATGATTCATAATAGAAATTATCAATATTTCACAAAACATTAATGTTCTAGTTTATCTTCAGGTACTTTTGCAATAAATCGTGTGACGAATTTAGATTAGGAAGGAGCACGTATATATTATATATAGAAAACAAATTAACTCCAATTGATGGTCGTATAAATTAAGCGAATATAATGAACTCTGAATACAACAAATATTTTAGACAATAGGTTTCTACTGCAGGTACATGATTATGTTGTAATTAAATGTATTATTTACATCAGTATTGTCGTCTATTTTTATTTTCTAAGTACAAATGTATAAAAAACTATACATTTAAAAAGTCGCAATAATTAAATAACTTTAAAAATATCAATTAGGGCTATTACTTTTACCCGGGTACCCGTGAGATATCCGGGTAAAAAAAAGTTACCCGGATACCCGGGTATCTATGAGATATCCGAATAATGAGACAGTCGAAAATCTCGATTTAGGAGTCGATCGTATTTCGACCATTTTTCGATCGATATCGACAATGACCGGAATAAACTGAGGAAAACTGAAAATGATATTACAATAATAAAAATAATAATTATAATCATATAATACTATTATAATTATTATATATACTATTATAATTATTTGATCGCAACTGCGTATACTGCGTTACTTAGTACTATATACTAATAATACATATTATTATATTATTATATTATAAGAATAAGTAAGTCATGTTTTTGCAGTATAACACGAGTGCTAAGTAGCGCAGTATGCCTACGCGGCTGCGATCGACTTCCGAAACGAAATTTTCGACTGTCTCATATATCCGAATATTTCATAGATACCCAGGTACTCGGGTAATTTTTGTTTACCCGGGTATCTTATAAAGTCAGAGCTCTAATATCAATATAGTGTTCGATACGAATACACTTATGTAGCTCCGAGTTTATTGCACTCGGTTGTTCGTGTCGATTTGACTGACTCCTTGGTATCGAACACTCTTCTTGGCGTCTTGACGCCTTTGTACGTCCTTCGTCAAAACGGTCATGATAAGACCAATCAGAAGCGCCAGGCATAGTCCTATATGCACTGGAGCGTCCCCATAGTGTTCCAACATTTCGCCAAATATTAGAACGAGGATAATGCCGTATATGTTATTAGCCACATTCAGAATTCCTGCCGTCAGGCCTTCTGATTCTGGATACGTGTACTCTGCGCACATTTCATATCCCAAAGCTACGTAAGCCAACATGAAGAACCTGCGGAAAATGATTGTATTTTTAGATACGTCGAAATAAATTAATTTCGACGCAGAAGGTATTGAAAGTGATGGAAAATACTCAACATGAGTAAAAAACCAGATTTGGTATGAATTACTCTTAATGATATTGTATAATTCGACTGATAAGAGCGATTCAACACGTCTATTTTGATGTACATCAAAAATCCTACCCTAGAAACACGGCTGACAAATACACCATCCACCTCATCTCGAGATTGGTAGAAACAGCGAAGAAAATTTGGCCGCACAATGAGAAGAAGTACACAATCACTGTTATTTCCCTGAAAATGTGTGCATTTGAGTATAGGAAATAAAAACTGATGAACATAGTTACAAGCATGTATTGAAAAGAGTAATAATTTATAAACAAATGCATTTGAAAATTTTGTCGGCATTACGGTGAAAAAAGGAGCGAAGTCAAAATAGAGAATCGAAAGCCATTTCTCTTTTTTCAATACATTCAATTTGATATAAAATAGCAAATCTTGCAAACATACATTATGTACCAAAAAAAAAAACAAAAAAGAAAAATCTTGCAAAATATATATTTAAAATCATAAAAATTAAAGAAAGAAATAAAAATTTGGAGCTCTTACTTGTATTTATGGGTTTTATCGATAATGATTCCGAAACAGATAGCACCTATCATACCCGAAATAATCATAACCAAACCGATTCTACCAGCATCTTCCTCACTATTCTGTAAAATACATAAAATAATATATAATTACACTTACAAGTGTTTTCATACTAATATTTCATAAATTTCATTCGAAGAATTTTACAAGTTGTCGTTTTCTCAGCTCACCTGAAAATGCACAACATATATTTGACTGAATAGTGTCGCCACCGCATTTAATACACCGACGTTCAATCCATATGTGTTGCAAAGCAATATGTAATATTTATTTTTAATTAGTCTTTTTATCGGCGTTATGAAATTCTCCCTCCCAGCCATTTGTTTTATTTTTTGCAGAGCTCGTGCGGTACTCGGAGGTAACTTCGGATCGTCGTCAAACACTGTGTAAGATAACGTAGTTAGTGTAGGGTAGTGCGGATGTAGTTTGAACAGCAAGAATAGACTAACATTTTATGAGTAATTTTTCACACTTCTTTGCAAATTCTTTCGTATACATTACAAGTAGACATTTCTTCGACACTTATTTCTGAAAGACACGATGGTCTGGTCTCAGTTGTATCAATAGCGAAAACGAAATTTTACTATTTCTGCAAATAAACTTACGTAGTAAGATTAGGATAAACGAAATTGAGAGGATAATAGCCACTCCCCAGAATAGGTGTGACAATAGCAGGAAACATAAGGCTATTCCCATTTGATTGCCGAAAATGCTTAAAGATGTGGCAGTAGACACTTGGTTTGGGCCGAACCATTGCGCTGCTAGACGTCCAGGCAATGTCTGAACGGTAATCTGACACGACAGAAAGTGCGATTATTGGCATTAAAAGAATTAAGATTACTTCATTTTGTGGTATACATACTTGACTATGAGTAAATGATCATTTATAATTTTAATCTGTCTTGATACTTTTCAAACATGGTTCTGAAATAATTTACTATTACTTATAATTTATTACTTAGCATTAATTTGCTATTTGCTATATTCACCACTCAATAATTTGCACGAATGATTACACATGTAATTTAAATCAAGTAAAATTTGGTTGTAAATATTTTAGAATCTATAAGAGACAATTTTACATCATAGTAATATACAAGATGTTCGGCCATCGGTGTCAGAAATTTTAATGTGCGGTTCTACATGTCGAAATGAAATGAAAATAAAGAATAATGAAATTGTGTTGGAGGCTTCGTTGTCAGGTTATTAACAATTAAAAATTCAGGCTAGAAACGCCTGAATCCAGGCAATCTGCGTACAAGCGGTGATCATAGAGCACGGTAGTGCTGGCACGTCCACTGGCGTCGCCTGAAAAAAATATACCGTTACCTCCCAACGAAAAAAGTGATGTGTAACACCTGCATACGAGCTTGGACTACTGTTTGCGACAGTTCATAAAAAAGCACACGCGAATGGTTGCACGACAGTGAACCTGGTTACTCATTCAAATCTCTAAGGGAAATCACAGCATTTACAGAATAGACACCGTATAACTTAAACTAAACTAAAACATACTAAATTAAATTACCACTATCAAGAATACAGATGCTCTTCTTCGAGGGCTATTTTACGTCGACTAGATATATTCGCGTTGAGGATTACCACTGAACTAAGGAATCATTCCTCCAATCTTACGCAAAGAAAGGCAATGAAAATGTGTAAACGGTCAGTAGAAATAGTACAACCAAAAAAGTGTTTGCTAGCAAGAATAGCACCTTAAGGACAAGTGGAAATGATGTGGTCGAGCGATAGAGAACAGTGGGGTGTATAAGACAGTTCCGATATTCTGTTCTTGAGCAATTTCGTCACTACTTGAGAATGTTCTGCAGATGTTGGGCTTGCAGCAAGGGAAATGTGTATGTATACTTGAGATTGTAGCAAGGGAAAGGTACATATCACAGGGTTGGCTAAGAAGGAAGGGCGTATTTTTTTTTTCAGGCGACGCCAGTGTACGTACTGCGATTGTCGTGCCCTACGCTTACTGATTGTACGCAGATTGCCTCGTTTCAGGCGTTTCTCACCCCAATTTTTGATCTTTAATAATTTGCAAACGAAATCTCCAAAACAATTTTGTCATTCTTGTTTTTCGTTTTATTTTGACACGTAGAATGATCCCTTAAAATTTGTGACACCAGTAACCGAAAATCCTGTTTAATTAATCCTGTATAATAAATTCTATACATATATTTAAAGTATTTTCTTATCCCAACGATATTTTTAATATGTTCCAATAATTATCAGTTATTGAACTAATTTTATATTGGTTGATTGGATGCTATTATAGCGTCTATTTTAATCAATGAATTTGCGTTTTCTTACACAAATAAATTTATAAATCATTGAATATTATGCAGATATTCAATTTTTTTGTATTTCAAACACGTAACAGTTTTTAGTTCAATTTTATTGAAATGTTAGTATGGTGACGTTTAATTTTGCAGTTTAAAAAATTTGCTAATATGCTTTTAATATGATATCCTTTGTTTGAAATGCTATTATCCAGATTTCATTATGTTCAAACGACTTATTTCAATATTGTATGTCTCGCTTAAGCTTCGAATACATAAAGTACGACTAGACTTGTAATACCCTGCATTAGCGGAAATTTATGACATATTTTCACGAATTCAATTCCATTGTGTTTGTACTTTTGCTTAATGCATTTTTTAAACACCATGTCAATTTCAACGTTTGTATGTATCAGTCGAACACTTCAAATTAAAATACAGAAATTACAGATTGTAAATGATCTGACACACGCAGTATTAATTTATAGTAGGCACATGTGGTTATGTTTAACGTAGTTTATCGTGTCATACATAAGACTAATTTATTGTTCTGTTTCTGTTTACCTGAATTACTTATGACTGGAATGGTCTGGTATAAATGGAACGATATTGCTGAAAGAATACTCAATATTCTGTATCTTTTTTATTAATATTCTGAGAGATAGACATAAAAAGTGTTTTCTTTGTATCAAGTATAAATTTGATACATTTTGACGTATTATTATTACGTCTGAATTTGTATAATTTTCGAATTTTCAGTGTTGTCCTGTTAGTTAATCTCAATATTGATAATTCAGAGTATGGTTATATTAGTGTATAGTAATGTTTATATTCGAATAGTACTTAAATTGTATTCACTTGTCATAAATAATTGTTTAACTTTTTACGATATGTTTCTAGTCGACGAAACGACGACTATTTTTTAAAATTTGTCATTTCTCAAACGGTGTTTTGATTTCCTTTTGTCAGACAATGTCGATTATCTATTTAGTGTTTATCATTCATTACAAATAAATAGTTTCGATAAAAGTATGATTTTAATGTCTAACCTGGCTAATAGCGACTAAGGAATGTCCAATGAAGGTAACATAAAACCTGTCAGGACTGACGGACAAAACTTTTATCCACGATCCAAGGCAACTGACTCCACAGCCTATGATATTACTCCACCTGAGTCCCCAGCGGTCGATGAGATATGTTGCAGGAAAGACAAGAATTACGTAGTATCCCATGAAAGACATTGCTGTCCAGTCGACAGATAACGAAGATACTCCGTAGTACCTGAATAGTGAGTTTAATTTTATGAAATTCCATTTCTAAATCATGTATACCATGTGTTACTTCAATCTTCTTTATTCCTTTATATTCATGAAGCTAAAGATACGAATAGAGATTTTTAAATCTCTCATTAGCCCTGAAATGCTGTGAGAACTACAGAGAGTATTCGTAGAAAAATGTTCTTGTTTAATATGACTATCTTTAGTATTAACTTTGTTGCTTCAATGTTTCTATACTTTTATACAGATTCGAAAATTTGATGATTATTTTGAAAATTTACTCTTGCTAGATACGTTTAAATAATTGGTCCTTTAGATACTACACAAGGGAGTCCGCATTATCTATCTTGATCACTATGTCTTTTCAAAGAAATCTGATATTGATTTAATGGAGGTGCATTTGATATATCGTCATTGACAGATTTGATGTAATACAGGTTGTCTCCAAAATCGTGGCATGGACTGCAGTGATTCTATATGCAAAAATAAGTCGAAAAAAAAGAATAAAAGTTTTTCAGGTGATGCTTCATTCTCGAGATAATTGAATTTGAAGATTCGTGGGATAGATGGGCAGTAGAATAAGACATAGCTAATGCGTCTGTTCATCGCAGGCTGTTTCTACTTAACCCTGTACAAATACACGTGACTCAGATAAAGTTGCAAACTCAATTTTTTCGAAAACAAAATCATAAATGAAAAAATTTTATTCTTCTTTTTCGATTTATTTTTGCATATAGAATTACCATTCGGAGCGGCGGTATGACGATTTTGGGAACAGTCTGCATTTATCATCTATCTCTTTAGAGATAGCAATTTATTTTTGTATACTCGCGTCATGTATTAAATGTACAGTAGCGGATATAGAAGTTACCATTTTTTCGATTTGCTTGATTATTATTATTTTTGAACATCAGCTTAAAATTTTAGTACTGTTCAATATATATTCTGATAGAGAATTAAAAGCTGTATAAAACCCAGTATATTATGGTTTTACATTGATGTCAAGAAATGATAGAAATACAAATAATCAGAATAGTGGTAACTTTTTGTTTGCTACTGTGCGTCTGCGTTAACTAAGATATGTCTAATCGATAAAATTTTCCTGTTCTATCCGGAAATATAAATATTGCGTTTGAAGGTACGCTAACCTTTTGCACTTATTAAATACATAATGAATTACCTTTAAATGGAAATTATAATTATACACAAATATGACACCATTATACTTTTATGGTATTCAGTATTAAAAGATCATTCGACTTGATTTGAACCGTATTTGCGTTATTTTTCCATTATTACAAATTATACATTAATTATATATTATAAATTAATAATTATTATAATAAATACCATATATCCAAAATCTTTAATTACTCTTGTAATTGAAGTAAAAATCTACAAATTATTTACTACATTATCTAAGACGTTTTTTTCTAGTTTACTGGTTTTGTAAATTAGCCTCTAAATCGGGATTTTATATAAACATTCATACATTGCTCATAAGTTTCTATCAAACTTTATGCATCGTATTAAAATCAATGCCTTCTGCATTTAAACATACAAGAAACAAGTTCCTAAATTAAACGAATGGCCATTATAATCGTGTTTAATCAAATCTATGCGTTACACGGGCAATTTCCACGATTTCTACGTCGATACAATACATTCCAGAGAGTATAAACTCCATAGAGATTTAGGCAAGCTTAAATAAAAAAAAAATAATACAGCATAATAACACGTAGAATAATGAAGTACCGACGTAGTTCAATTAACAGATAAAACATTCAGCTACTCTAAACAGAAATTCTGCAAATAAAAGTGCAAATACCTGGTTATTATGTTGGTGATCACAGAGTATTGAATCCACTGAAACGTGCTCATCCCCGTATACAATGTAAACAAGAACAATATCAGCCATCGTTTCTTGTACACTTTTGTTTCTACTAACTTAGGATCATTCCCTTTCCCACCATTTACCACCTTCACAGGGTACTTCGTGCACATTACCTCCTTCAATTCTTTCTCCTCCGTCATTCTTAAGTTTTTTCTTCAACGATATACTTGGATTCCGGGCCCTTTCAAGTTCACACAAGAGGAGAGCGTTGTCAACAACAACGTGTGTTGACGTTTAAAAGCCTCCTCTAATGATCTATCCGAGTACCGTTGATCTGCAGTATCAAACCACGCAGAACTGAAGAATTGCACGGTGTTATTCACGGAAAACTGGAACTGTCCGACTTAGAGTTTAATTCCTTGTAGTTCGTTCGTTCGTCGAAACCGGCGAACCCCTTTTCCTCGTTCCGAAACGAGTCAATTCGACCCCCGAAATGCCGTGTCTAGCGTTTCAGGTAGTCGTTTCCACCTCGGCTTCAGACGGACTGCGCTTTCCTCAGTCTCACGGCTGTTTTGTTTTATCTGTATCCACGAATAAACAAGATCGCCTTATTTGCCCTAAGCATTTGCGATCGGCTACAATCCGTGTTACATGCTCCCTGTTATCGTTACTCTTATCGCGATTCGCGGCTCTATTAGACGCCAATGAGCCTAATCGATCCATTCTGCCATTCGTCGATTTTCGTCTCGATCGCTTGGCCAATACATGTAGACACGTTTGGGCAGTTTATGATCGATATGTCTTGCATGGGTGTAGCCAGGGATGGGCGGGGGCATTTGCCCCCCCCCCCCTGGACGGAACAAAGTGGCTTTTGCCCCACCGTACAAGAAAAAAATTTTATTTTGCTTCCCCCTCCCTTCCCAGAGTTACAAAAGTTTGCGTAATATTTAATATTGCAGTATAATTAAAAACACGACCAACAGCCTCTATTAACAAAGCACATACATTTTCAACGATTTATGATTTTAAAAACAAAATAAAGTGTGTCTGGCTACATACGGCCGTTTTCACTGTGGCAGTCGATGTGCTAATATTTTTGCCTTTCCTCCTGACTGATAACCTGGCTACGCTCATGATGTCTGGCTAGGATTACCTTCGAGTTTTTTTCTAAGGAAAACGATTTTCCATCCAGATTTGCAGACAGCATTGGTTGTCTATCTGGTGGCATGATTTTAGAGGTAAACAATTGAATGAAACGTGCACTGATTAATCTCGCTTTGTCTCGAGGGAAGGAGACTGGTGGAACGAGAAAGACTCTGGCGCCAAAGTGTAGACTTCGGGGTTTAGACGGTGTTGCAATCTGCGATCACTGTCGGTGACGCATTCTTTCTCGACGAGGAAAGAGGTAGGATTAATTTTTGTTCCAACGACTGCATTGGAAAATTAGGTAGCGGCTGTATGTCTCTCACAGGAGCTTGTAAATTGTTTTACAATTGAATTATGATTGCTAGACAAATCAGAAATTATAAAAATGTTTCTTATGTCATTGTTACAGGTTTCTATTAATTATGTGACTTAACTTATTGTCAAAAGGTTTCTTTCGAATTTTATTCAACAGAGAATTCCCATATAATTTCGATTTATAAATTGTATTGTTGTTTTTCATTTATATAAGTAAACCATAGATTAAGAAGTTATCAAAGTCCATCCGCATTGTACTATGTGTCCAAGTTTTCGATATCCGTATGATTTGTTTCGGAAGAGACGAGATAATACACTGCTGATAAGATCGCAATCATACAGGGTGTTCTATCTAACGTGAGCATCTATAATATCTCATTTGTGTTTAAAGATATAAAAAAACGTGAGAGGAAAATATTATTTAATTAGAAGGGGCAAATATTGTGATAAGCAAATAAATTTTCTCAAGGCCCTATTTTTCGATATTTCAAAGCCATCGATGTTTTTTTAAATGGGACTACATATCTTTTATCATCGTGGCATAATAGTTGAAGTCAAGACTTATGTATAATAGTGTAACCTTCAGGTCATATTGAGTACGAAAAATCCACTACCTTCTATTATTTTTTTCTCTATATTCAGTATGAAAAATAATTTATCGTCTACAAAAATATATCGAAGTTGATAACATCATGTTGAGCATTTATTAAAATACTTTTTGTGCATTAATGTTTCTATCATAGCTATTTTATTATTCAAATCTACTCTATTCCCATACTTTTGTAGATTTTTCGTACTCAAGGTCATATTATAAGGCATTGGATTGGTCTTGACTTCAATTATTACGCCATGATGATAAAAATATGTAGTTCCATTTAGAAAAATATCGATGACCTTGAAATTTCGGAAAATATGACCTTTAGAAATATTTTTTCGCTTATCATCTAATACCATCAAAAGTAGGAGATGTATTTAAGGTGTTCACGTTAAGTAGGACATCCTGGATGTTGTCTGATTGAAAATATACAGTCAATGTGTCTATATTATAGTGTTTATATTATTCATTAAACTAATAAGAATTCTTCCTATTGATATCCTTGTTTCGCACGTATAATTAGTTACTTGTCATTAATAAAGGAGAAAGTTGTACAATCAATATAACAGAAGTTTATTAGATATTACAGTTTAACAATAAAGACAATGTAAATCTGAGGCTCCTTGAGTTACATAAGTTTACAATTTATTACAAAATTAAATATCTCCGACACAATCCACTCCATAAACTCCGCGACATTCTTAAATGCATTACCCATCAATGGTAACATTAAAAACCGTTGGGAAAAACTATGAACTGACTGAACGGTGTACACGGAAAATTTTTTCATTGTAAAAATATGTGACATTCGCGAACGATAAAACACCAAAATTCACGAAATACTTTCTTTTAAGAAAACGCTTGTCACGATCTCTACAAGTTGAGTTTAGATAAATTTATACAATAAATAAGCATTCTGTGGTCTTAATTCTTATACCTTTAATTTTGAAGAATTAAAATTTTCATAAGAAGCTAGAAAGTATGTCAAAAATATAACAGTTATAATTTCTATTTTTAAATCATTGAAATTACGTTTCCTTGATAACGTGCGAAATTGAATAAACTCAATAAATAGATTACGGATATTTTGGTATTTTACCGTATCACGACGCGAATACTTTACATTATACGCATCGTCGCTCCTTATTATTTTCTTTTCTTTTTTTTTTTCGCAAGAATCATTCATTTATACATATACCGTTTTCTCAGTTGAATCGACAAATCAGCTGTCCTCGAAACAAACCCTCGAAAATATATTACAAACGATAGACCGGGTATCGTTACGAAGTCGAAAGAACAAGTTTCGTTTACGGATTAATGTTAAAGTGTTTTCTCCTTTATATATCTATACACATAGTCTAACGATTACTCGAGTCGTAATTGTATACAATTTATTGTTAAATAGTACTATGTAACGCTTGGGACCGTAAATTCGGTACAATCGATATTTAACATGTTAACGTATGTATACAGTATTGTATTACAAACTATTCAATTCACCGAGCAACAGTTCACAGGGCGACACTCTTCAATGTAAAAAGAAAAAAAAAACAGAAACACTTTGGGGGGAAAGAAATCGATTTTCTCATACCTGTCTATTTCACCTGAACGCACGAGAAGGACACGCGAGATATTCACGCATCTGCTAGACAGATTCATTTTTGGCCATCGTTTAGTAGGCGTTGCATTTTACTTTCGTCTTCGTCATTGTTTCGTATAAAAAAAAGTCTGACGTTTCTTAAATACAATGAGAATCAATCAATCACGATAGTTTTCGTTACATCGCAATGTTTCGAAGTATTCCTGAGACCCAGATCCAATGCTTCTCAAAGAGGCTTAAAGTTCTAATTAATGTCAGGTAGTGATTTCGTTTGAATTTCGAAAATCGTTTGAGCACGATGATGTCGTTTTTGAAAAATTGACAGAACCCTCTTCTGTTTGGAGAAGTCAGAATAATCGTCTTCTTTGGGATCGGTCCTTTGGGAATGTCGGAACACTAGTCGATAGTTTTATTGATTTATCGAAAGACTTTTTTTCAACGATTCGAAGAACAACGGGGAAATCGAATCCCATTTCCGGAATTAGGGGTCGCGGTTTCTGCCCGTAACATACTCTCGGCATAACTCTTTTTCTTCTTCGTTCAACGGAGTAGCATAAAATTGATCGAAATCGCCCAATCGTTTTAATAATATTATTTTGGCACGGTTCGACGTGTGCGTGATGATTTTCTCGTTCGACAGAGCTTTGTATCGTCTCGCGAATTTTCAATAGGATATTACGACTGTACAATGGACACGCGCGCGTCAAATTTCGGGCACGCAGTGCTCGTAACGGCTTTTCGTTTAATAACGTTAACAACGTGTTTCGGTTATTATCCGTCAACGATACGATATCTAGCCGTCTCGGAAGAACATTCGCGTTACCAGACAGCAGAATGGAACGTGTCGAATGGAAATTCCCGCTGACTGGCAGTGTCTCGAACTTGCTAACCGGCTGAAATTCAGCACGATCTTCCATTAGAAGTTGAAATATTTCTCTGATGCTTGAGGATCATTCCCCGCTTCCCGCAGAGGTAGACAAAACGTGTCTAATTGGATTTTGTAAATTTCCTGCTTGTGAAATTTCCGAGTTAAGTGGCAGCGATATTTCGAAGTGTTCGAAATGCTCTTCGTGAATATGTAATAATAAAAATTGAAGAGGATGAACATTGTTTTTTTCTATATTTTCTAATGTTCAATGCTCGGATATTTGGTTTCCACGAAATATTATTATGAGAACAATTGACACTTGTAGTTTAATCAGTGGTGTCGCCAGTCTTTCTGAAATAGAAGGTTTTGCAACAATTTATAACAATTGTTTAGGGAGTATTTAACTTGTGAGGCAACTAATGCGTTTCGACTGTAAAATACCTTATGTTAGTAGATTAAAATCTCATTTAATCTTTTAAAATCTGAATCATTTTTATTAAAAGCTCGTTTAATTATTTCAAAACGACAAAAGGAAATGAAGTTGATGTATAGTAACTTGGATATTTAAAAAGAAAAAATGTTAATGTTTTGCCGATTTAAGAAATAACTAGTTTATTTTGGTCGTGTTATGTTTTAAGTATGACTTAAATTTCTAAATCATAAATATGATTTGTGACTTACAATTTTCGTTTGTGTACTACAAAACAATATTATAATAATTACTATGTTATTTTACTTTTCTTTTTAAACATGACCTGTTAAGTGGTTTCAAATGTCACATTAAATATAGGTACTCGAAAAATGATATAAATTATAGTTTGCAGATAAATGTTAGAAATATTCAATTGGTATAATAATAGATTTCCTGAAAATTAAAAGATTGCTGCCAATCGAAGAATAATGTAACAATCATATAACGACGCATCCAACTTAGTAAAGAGAACAGAATTCTTTCAATAATAAAAAATATCGATCACTTTTAGTACAATTTTCAGAAATCTAAAAATATTCTGTCATATTTAGTTAACTGTTCGTAATCACTATACATTTTTAAAAGCACACGCCTACAAGTTACTCCATATTTAATTTTCGCGTATAAATTACAAAACGGTCGCACCAGAGAAATTAACAAAGTAATTCACCGTCGTTCGTCGTTAACAACTTCGTCGACGCTGAAATTACGGCGAAAGAAGAAAACGTAAGTTTCGTCGCGCCTGTCAACGGTTCACGGGGAAGTGCCTCGGAGAATTTATTTCTCTTCGAAATTTGGCAAGCTGCTTCTCGCGAGGGCGGTTACCACGCGAAAATACTACTTTACGGAGCTCGTGATCGATCTCTGCCGTTAAACCGCTGTTCCATGGCTGTCTGGCTTCTTCCGGTTTAATGTCACATGTTACCATACACGATTCCATGTGTTACGAGTGAATCGTTAGTCACACTGGCGTAGGGGAACCACGAAACGCGTTATTCTGTAATTTGTGTATTTTCAACGTTCTCTCGTCGAACGTTGTTTTTTTCTTCTCCTTTTTACTCGCCTCGTTTTACACCGTTCTTCGCATCGCAATAATGTACAAACTTACAAATCGGAGTCGGGAGGAAATTCGGTTTACAAAAGGGGTTTCGGGAGGAAGGAGAATTACGCTAATTAATCGGACCACTTGGCAATTACACCTGTACACGACGATAGAAACACGCACGGGAGCTCGATAATAGCTGCGATATGTGTCATCATTCTGTTAACCATGTAACAAGATACTATATAACGTTTATCGATCATCGCCCGAGCCGCTTTAATTAGACAATTTGATCCCAGAACACATGGTAATAGTTTCTTTTTTTTTTTTTATAAACGTACAATTTATTTATAATTTCCATACGAATTTTATGTATAAATTTACAGATACCGTGGCTTGCGTCCTTTTTTTTTTTTTTTGGTTTCCGTGGATCCTACCAACTATCCTAGCCCTTTTTTTCCGTTCCATCGTGCTTTTAGAGCATCGACGTGAAATCGTACGCGTGAACCCTTACCGTTCAAATATTAATCCGAAGACTTGCTGAAAGGAGGTAACAAAGTAAATTTTCTTTGGCGCTTGTGACTGGAAGAGAAAATTAGCGAACACCGAACGCTGCGATTCGAAAGTATCGTAGGCTCTGTAAGAGAAGACTAGTGGAAGCGAAATTCAAGTTTTCACTCTGATTAAACCCCTGACACGTTTGCCAAATGATTGCTTCATCTTGTACCTACGAATATATAAACAGTATGGTCATAGTAGACAGTGTAATCTTCATTAACTGAAAAATATATTAGTTTAGGCACAATTTAAAATAACAAATACAGATACTTGTCGTCAAGGGACTAATTGAGAAAACTATGAAGTGGTGGTCTCTTTCTTGTATTCCCTCAAAAATCTTTGAATGTTCCATCTGTATCAATCGAAAATTTCGAAGGTTGCATCCGTTTCTGATTAGATAATAATCATATTTTTACGGCTCGATCACGTCTTGTAATAGGTCTATCATCCGTCAAGAATAGTAAACGAGACAAACCGAGAGTGAGAGAGACAGAGTTCTAACGAGGTGCTTATAGGACAGTTCTCAAAGTTTCAAAGCTGTGTTGACATTAATTCGAATATATTGGTGAAATTCATCCGATAAGGTGACACTAAATCGGGCGTTATTTAAACTAATTTAAAGTATATTTAGAATAATATACGACTTTTCATATTTGGTTGATGCGGAATTGATATCGATTTTCGATAGCGTAGTACCTACACATCTAACTTTTAAATTCTTGTAAATGCAATTTGAAACTAATCGATTTTTGTAAATTTCTGCCCCACTGTCGTTAGAACATCCTCTCTAGCTCTTTGGGGCCAAATTCATATTACAAAATTAAGACCTCACAGTATAAAATTAATTAAATTTTATAAAACAAAATTGATTCTAGAACTAGAAGACATTGAAAGTTCGAGATTATCGAGGGATTACTTTGACTATCTTTGGCTTTGAAACGTACGCATTGACAACCTCGCCGCGAAGAACTATCAGATTAACGTATCAGAAAGAATTAAGTTCAACTGATTCCATTTCCACTTAATATTAACCCTTTGCAATTGACATACTCTATAACTCTAAAAACCGACAGTTACTACCCTACTGTATAACAAGATATAAATAAAAGCATGAAACACATTAAATACATATTGAAAATATGAATAGCGTAATGATTTTCTAAGACAATAATCAAGTACAAAGGGTTAACAATACAATCAGACGTAAATTTGTACTCGTTGCGTTTACAACATCTCTCTAAACAACTTTTACCATAAAAAACAATTTATTCTTCAACGTGGAAATGAAAATAAATTAATCTGACCGTAGCGAATTTGTCAATGAGATTATAACTAAGAATCAAGTATCATCAACGATTAAAGCTTGCAGCAGGAGCTTACATAAATAATTAACGATAGTATTTTACACACTTCGTGAGAGCACACTGGCCACATTGTGACTTGGGATAAGAACGTGATAAATTAACGATAGTAAACAAGAAGAAGACGAATCGAAGGTAAGCAAGTCGGAAAGGGTTAAAGAAGCTCTTCATTCTCGTCCGAGACACCGTACATCTGGGGCCGGCGTTGCTGAAGCTGTTGATCCCGTTGCCTCTGCGCTTGCTGCTTCTGAAGTAACGCGATGCTGGCAGCTTTGTAGTTGATCGGCCCGTATGATCGGTAGTCCACGTCGGCGTAGTCGAGATCCGAAAATTCCGGCTTGAAGGGCTGCGTAAACAAAACATTACAACGGACACCTTAGTCTACCTTCGATTATACAACAGAGGCGGGGTTGCGCGCGTTTTCGTTCGCGCAGAATTCAAGGCGGACTACTTGCGTTTATGAACCGGAACGTTTCAGTGATGACGATTGTCAAGTTCAATCTAGCAATGACTAAAGACAGAAAGCATTCTTCGTTAGACTGTTTCGTGCAGATTCGTTTTACACGAGGCACCCTCGAATGCATGAATTGAAATTATTCGACGGAAGCTGTGGACTTTTTAAATTGATGTAATTGTTAGGTTATGCTTGTAAATGTTTCGGAAGAATCGAATATGTATCGGGGATGATTGAAATATTGCATATTGGACGACGCTTATTTAAGCTATTTGGTCTTAGATGCTTATTTAATTTCTTTGGACTTGAAGATACAAAACCGCGGTGATAATGTATAGTAAATCATCGATGAGTGTTCGAAGGTTCCTCAGCACTGAATATTCAGACGTCATTCCCACCACTGGGGAGGGGGTCTTTGTGGAACCAGTCAAGTATTTAATGGTGGGCATGCCATCTGAATACTCAGAGTCGACAAGCTTTCGAACACTCATCGATGATTTACTGTATTCGGTTGGCCATCGAGTAATGTCGGACTTCTACAGTAGATCATGTATTTTTTTTATTTCGATACAAAGCTGTGTTCCTGATTAATAAAATATATACATATGTTCAAAATTGACACTTCAACGCGTTGTTTAAAAAAAATTATTATGGTTAGGTCAAATTCTCTTGAATTAATATTGTTTAGAAAATGAGTGACGAGATGTACTTTGGAAAGGTTGCACTTTTTTATTCTCAGAAAACAGAAATCGCGGCACAAACAATAAAAAGGATTTCTTATGCGCATGCTGATAATGCTGCAAACGAACGGAAATAAAAAAGCATAATTGCTCAAAAGTACACCTCATCACACGTTTTCAAAATAAGATGAATGCAAGAAAATATAACGTAATCGTAGTGCCTTTTTTTTATACGACGTGTTTGTCAGAATATGAGTATGTTAATTACAGAATATGTATATGTTTTATTAGTTGGAATCAATGAAACATTATTTACGGTAGAAATTCGACATTACTTTTTGGTGAGTCCAATAATTTGAAAGATTTCATTCATGTCGAAGTATTGAGATTAATAATGAATTATTGACTCCTGGCGTGTACTGTCGAACTGAAATAATATCAAGATAGAGATCATATTATCATCTTGAAGGTTCAAGTCGAATTGCCTGGCTGAGACAATTAAAATTATTACAGACTTCAAGTGCAAGCCTTATTATGCTGCAGAGTTATTCAGATACTTTTTCAACACTAAAGCTGTCAGCAGCAGATAGTGACCATTCGTACCGTGAATACCAGTGACACTGTATTTGAAACCTCTTAGAAATGAAATTAATTCACTGTGTCAGATAAAAAGTAGAGAAAGTAAAATTACTAATTATGTACATTATTAAAATTAAATAAAATTCAATTAAAAATATTTTCACCTGTTATAAACACTCTTTTGGTAATAACTACATACTACTTACATGGATACTTCAGGACATTATAGCTTAAAAGATTGCAATTCTTAAAAATCAATAATAAATTGTCAATTAAAATCCTAAGATTTGGCAGTTGCGTCAGTTTCTTTTCTATATTCAAAATATGTCTTCACTATTGATTTTGCAACGTTTTATCTATTTTACTACTATTTGTTTGTATTATTGTATTATGACACCCACGAAATGTGACGCCAAAAACATGGAAACAACCGACGTGTAACAGGGCTCAACGGATTTTTTTGCTGTTGCAATAGCTGCGCTACTATGAATTGCCTAAGGAATCTATTCTCAACGTTAGTATATCGGTGCCGATTGTTTTTTTTTGCTCGTTTTAGCGCGCTCGGGGCCAGCTTAAGCTACCGATTAAAGGTAGCACGGACAGTAGCTTCTGCTCGAGCTTTCACGTATAAATACGGGCCTGTATCGAGTCGGATTAATTCGATGCAACGTAAATGTAATTCTATTTGCCGTTGTATACGACCGAATCCATAAATTACCGCCACACTATATATGTATCAAAGAACATTCGAGATTTATAATTCCTCGTAATTGAATAAACCTACGTATCTGATCAGTATAGATTAACAAAGAAATTCTTGTGAAATGGAATTGAGAAGTAAGCTCATAAAATACGTTTGTTTATGTTTACACTAGTAAAAAATAACACATTTATGTTCTAACATGTATATATATCGGTTTAGCTCGTTACTTTATTACAGTTGTATTTAGACCCTTCTGTTATTTACTACTTTTGATATGTTTTTTCCTTCTTTTCTATGAACTACACTAGTTTTCAAAGCTATTGACAACTGATAAATTATATTTTCTTCTATACGAATAGACATCTCTAAAAATTAAATCAAACAATTGCTGTTCTTGACAATTCGTGACCTTGATTTTTTCAAGGTCAATGCATCTTTTTTTAATGTCATCATTTTATAGGTCGCTGAATCTGTCCTACCGTCAACGTAAAACCAACAACGTGATATTTAAAAAGGATGCATTGACCTTGAAAAAAATCTCGGTAACCTTGATATCTCAAAAGAACAAGATATAAAAAAATCAAATTGTATTCATCCGATGTGTCCCTTAAAATGCTATATAATTAATTCAAATGTTTTCTGATACAACTAATAGTTATTTTAGATAGTTCTTATTGATTCATCCTGTATATCATGAAACGATGCAGCATGATCAATTGTTACTAGATACATTGTTACCTAACAGTAACATCCTTCACGTCTTAGAGGGATCTCAGGCGGTTGATTGGCGGACGTTGCTCGTCGATGGAGCGGTCTCGGCCATAATTCTAACTCTGGCATGCACAATTAAACACAGGAAAAGCGATATCGTTATTTGAGCGGTAAATCAACGGGTTTCTAACCGGCCGGTTCTAAACTTTCATTGCTCGGGTGGTAGGTGTCGGGACGAGTTTATTGTTCGACGAATAAACCGTGTTACTGCCGGTAGAATTTTAATGGCCAATCACGCGGACGTCGTTCGTTAGCGAACACGATAACGGGAATCACTGCTTTGTTCATTACTGATACTTCGCAAGTGTCATACGGAGCCGTTCCAAAACGAAATTTAGTGGTCTGTTGTCGGTGTTACATCACCGTTCCCCGACTCTTTCATGCGTCCGGTATGTACGTCGATGAAAAAGAAATAATTTCACCGGAAACACGCTTTTACGAGCCTTACATTCGCCGCTGCTGTTACGTACGGCAATATAACATTGTTTTCCGTGATGCACGTTTGTATGTGTCGGTATATTAGTCGTGGAATTACGTTCAACTATTTGGTTGCCGTACGTGTAATGTCAGTCGTAGGTGTTCCCGGTTGTTTATGGCAGCCATATTGTGTGTTATGAAAGTTATAATTAGGACACGAGATTCAGTCTGGACGATCCAAAATTGATTCCTTTTTTTGCGAGTAATAATGAAATCTTCCTTTATAAATTTGTTTATATCATTCCAAAGTTTATGATTTGTATGAAATTAAGCATATTTTTTTTTGATTGGTTTGGATTTCCGCAGCGGACATATTGTGTACGATTCAGCACGCATGCATTCGTGCTTACAATCAGTAGAAACAACAAGTAATGGACAGACACGTTAGCCGTGTCCTATACAAAAGCAGGTGTATCCAACAAATCTTCAAAGTCATTTGTCTCGGAAACAAAGCTCAATTTGCAATAACTTTGTTTCAACTTTCGTCATATTATTTCATGGACACTCATTCTGCTACCAAGGATTTTTTTTTGTTGGAACTATTCAGCAATTTTTAATGAATTTCCGATCTCCTGAAGTCAATATAAATCAAACGGTTACCTTTTGAAATGAACCCTGTGTGGAAACAATGTTTAATATCGAGAAATTACCAGGCATGCCTTAGTTGACACAATAATTGTTCAGATCAATGATTATCTTAAATAATATTCCAGTCTTTTTAATTTATCTACGGGAAATTAAAGTTTGAAAATAGAACTTTTGTAGACGGAATTTCATACATTGCAACATAATACAGTATTTTCTTTATAAATGTTAAAAGTTTGGATCTTCTTTGTAACAGTTATTGAATCAGTCGATGAATTTCGAACGTCATAAATTTTGTCCTGAGCCTCGGCAGTTGTATTTTGTCGACACCGACAGTCACAGAAAAGGAAAGAGAGAGCCGTGAGAGGTTTAAATGCCCGCGTATCGGCGAGACAAGGCTGATGCAAGGATACAACTTTTTTTATTGTAGGTTGTCTGTTAATGGAAATTTTATTGTCATATAGGTGAGATTTTTCTGATTAAAATGATTCAAAACGCGACATAATTTGGATTATTCTTATTCCAAGGTTGTACCTTATGTTAATTTTCACCAACAAAACACTAAAAATAGAAAAGTTTCATCGTTCTATTAGCGTTGTCTTGCTGATATGCAGGCTTTTAATGTTTTTTGAACTCCCAACGTGTTACGTTATACGTTTGACTGGTTCCATAATAAACCATTAACTCTTATGGAATAAATCAAGCCTACTGCTTATCGAGAAAATACTGTAATGCGTTTAATTCTTCCACTAAATACCTGATCCGATCGAAATGTGACAGATATTTGTTGCTTTGTATAGAAATCATGGAACGATACCAATTAATTATTCACATTAGTGTGCTTACTAGAAGATGTTAGTTATGTTTCAAATTTAACTCAAATATAATAAATATTATACTTATACGTTGCTGACATACGAAATTTTGTACATTTAAATTTTTTATACGTTTGAATTATTGTTACAAGTCAAAAATAAGCATTTGTGCATCGTGACTTTCTATTTATTTGTCTTCCATTTGTTTTTTCAAGGATTGAGCGTTTTTTTAACGGTATATTATACATTATTTATTTACTATATCAGGTAATTGAAACTACT